TTGGCTTGTTTTAATAAAACAGTATTTTGAAAACAAGTTTAGTGATATTTTATAATTTTTTGTTAATTTTTGTGTAACTTGCTCTTGTGATTATGTCGTGTAATCTGATTTTATATAGTAGAATCATAATTAGTATTATAAAAATGATCTACATATACTCTACCCTTAAACAAAACATATAAAAATACTAAAGATAAAATTGATAAAATAATTAATAAAGCTAAATTTATTAGTATAATTAGTAATGAATGGTAAATATTTTTATTTTATTAGTAAAATTATATATATAAATTTAATTAATTTTATTTTATATTTAAAAATTAATTATTTTTAGGTCAAATTTAGTTGCAGAACATTGGACAAATTATATTATTTCTATACTAGTTTCTGTGTTTGTGTTTGCTAAACCAACAGGTGAAATTCAACAAAATGGTATTAATATTGCAGCAGATATAGAAAAAATTATTTTAATTTATAATTTAGAAAAAGTTTTAGCAATTATAAAAGATAATGCATCTGTTATGAAAAAAGCATGGAATATTTTAGATAAAAAGTATCCAAAAATTGTTTTTATAGGTTGTTTAGCTCATAATATTAATTTGCTTGTTCATGATATTATTAAATTAGATTGGGCACAAGAAATATTATCAAATGCAATATTACTAGTAAAATATTTTAAGAATTATATAATTCTTGCATTCCTGCAGCAATTTTAAAAAAATATCAAGAAAATAAATATGGATCAAATTATAAAACTTTTAAATTACCTGTTGAAACAAGATGGAGTTTAGCTGCAAATTGTTTAGATTCAATTAAATTTAATCAACTAGCAATTAGTTTATCTATTACTGACTTAATTAATCATCCAACTATTTCTGTTGATTTAGATATAAAAATATTATTCAAGATAATAAATTTTGAAATAAAGTTTAAAACTTATTAGTTATTTTAAAGGTTTTAGCAAGTGGAATTACAATTTTTGAAGGAAATACTTCATATTTATTACAGTTTTATAAATAGTATAAAAATCTTGAAAATAATAAATGTAAATATTAAAATTTTTACTATAGATAAATATATAATTGTTATATAAATTATAGTATAATTTAAAATAACTAATTTTTTATATTATACTTTTATAATAATTATATATTTTATCTATACTAAAAATTAATTTTATATTAACTTTTATTTAATTTAAATTTTTATAATATATATTAAAACTAATTATTTTATTATATAAAAATATTATTTATAGGTTTAACAAATAGTAGAGTTTTTGTAGATATTTATGATATTATTTTAAAAAGATGAGATAGTATGTATAACTCTGTAATTGAAATAACATATCTTATTGATTCTAGATTTCAAAGAAAAACTTTAAATAATGATATTATAACAACAATATCTAATTTTGTTCAAAAACATTATCCTGAAACTTGTACTAAAATCTATAGTCAATTATTAGAATATTTAAATCATTTAGGACCATTTAATAACACTATGGCATGGGAATCAGTTAATAGTGTTAATCAATTAACATGGTGGTCTGGAAATTTTTTAAACTCAGCTTCTGAACTTGTTCAATTTACAAAAAAAATTTTAACAATACCTACATCATCTGCAGCAGCAGAGCGTAATTAGTCTTATTTTAGTTATATACATTCAATAAAACGAAATAGACTTAAACTATTAAATGTTTTTAAACTAGTTTATATATTTAGTAATAGTAAACTAAATAATTCTTTTTTTTTTTTTTTTTTTTTTTTTTTTTGTTGTTTAAGGTGACCTCTTTGGCCGGGGGGCTTTTTATTAGATAATTAACAA